TTAAAATGCATATCACCATGGCACTAAAAACACCATCCCAGTCCTTTAATGGGATTGTTACCATAGCAACAGCTGATAAAGAAATGGAGAAAAAAAGTAGATTTCCAAACTGTGAGGTGACAACTGTTCAAACACAGCATTAACACCCAACAAATAACATTTATTTTAAAATGTTCAGCTGGAGATGAACCCAGACACCTAATCTGCACCCACACATGGGTTAAAACCAATGTGCTTTTTTTGTGCATCAACCATTTATAGTAGATATGAGCATACTGTAAGGTAATAACAGTGTCTGTCAATTGCTCTGGAGGCTAATAACTGATTGGTGTGCCTGACTAAGCAAGCAACACAGGAAAGCTGTATTCCAGTGATTCCTAGGGGGGTTGCATGCAGGTCTGTTCTATGTCTGTGTGCAGAGCGAGCATGGGAGGTAATTATTGGGTCTGAGACCTTAACAGGAGTAGTGGATGAGAATATGATCTCTTCCCTGGGCAGGTGCTTTAATAGGAGTGTAGGGGATAGCGTGATACTGGTTTTCTCCTGAGACCTACAACACTTCCCCAGGTAACAATCTCACTCATCTTAATGAAGCACGCGATTGTGAATAATCAGAACCCTAACAGTAAGGTGAACTGCAAAAACACATAAAAGATGACCTTTTCTTACTGCAAAGTGGAGATACTCAGATGGTGATAGTCTCTATTGTCAAGCCATTTTACTTGACTAATAGAGTAGAGAGTAAGAGATGAAGTTGCAATTAAAGGTGTCTTCCATCAGAAGAAGGAGGTCCTTCCTGGTAGTCAGCTAAAGGAGGACCAAAGGGAGCAACGCTCCACCAGAGAAGTTATTTCTCCACCATCCTTTCTGCTCTATGGAATACTTTAACTTCGGTGTTACGGCCTCAGCCAGAGTGCCTTCATTGCTTGTTTTTTTAAAAGGGACACATGCAATTAGAAGAAGGGAAAGAAGAAAATGGTTTCAGTAGTCCCCAGCCCCCACGCAGAGATTGAGAGCCAACACAAAACAAGCTCAGTGGTCCCCCCTGGGGCCATGTTTGAGACTGAGGCGAGCCTCTGATAGTCACTGTCACCACTGCTCATTGATAACAAAAAAAGAACAAGAAGAAAACAACTGCAAAGCCTTCATTTTAGTGAGTAAACGGTTTCCTAAAAAAAGTACAGATGGATTTCTAAAAATAGGCATCTGCCCTTGTTTGTGAAGAAAAATAAAAGATACTTCCTATATGGGGGATAAAATACTGTAACAGTTTCATATAAAATGCATCTAAATTACAGACCTTAACAGAGAAGGTACTCCACACCCACATCTTATGGGCTTTCTTCCAGTTCCTCTTCACTATGGATTATCCTGCTGCATAGACTAACTACGGATCATTACATCCATAATTCCCTGTTTTGCATAATGTCATTGTGAATATTTCCCTGGATTTGACTTTCAGCTTCAGTGCAGTTAATTATTTATACGTAGATACTTGGCTACATCACGTACACTGTCATGTACAGATCAGTTATGCAGCCACGTGGGATACTTTTTTAAGTAGCTTCATGAATATTCTTCACCCTGGAAAAAGTTAGGTGGGTGGATTGTGGAGAATCATCATAATTGGAGAAACAGCAGAAACATTATCATGAATCTAGTTTCCCTTAATGTGTACTACAAAAGGAGCCTGAGGAAAGTGATTGTCATACATTTGATGATTTGCTGTTCACAGTCATTGTCTTTATATGTGATGGAAAAGACAGGCATGGGAAGGATCACAATTGCTCTAAGGTGCATTTAAATCAAAGTCCCCATATATTACTTAGGAAATTCCCTCTTGAGAGTGTGAGCTGAGATGGCGTGCTTCAAGCCCCGCTGGGTTTCTTGTCATCATGAAATGGGAACAGGAGATTAGGAGGGTGAGGGATGTAAAGGATGGAAAAGGAAGGGGGTAAATACTGAAATCTGGTCTAATCCAATCTCATACAGCTGAAGATACACTCATCCTAAGACATTTCTTCTCACTGTTGAGGGAACTGAAAGTGAAAATGAGGGGAATACCAGTAGGAATCAGCTAGATAATACATTATTTTGGAAAGTATGCACCATTATATGAACAAAAAGTCTAGAAATGTGTTTATACATATCGAATAATAAAAATCAACACCCTGTTACACATCTGTAATGCACTGACTTGATAAAAAAGGACCATTTGACCAAGGTGAGTAAACTAAACTCCACAGGTTTTCTGCAGCTGAGTACTGCTATCCCTGTATCATAAGTATTTCAATTTCATAATATATTGTGATTAAATTTTCTACTATCCTTCCTTTTTACTGGAGCACAGAGCTTAGAAAATATTCCTTATGACAATTAAATGTCACAGTGAATTCTAATTAGCTTTTTGAACCAGCTTTAAACAAATTAATACTTTTATCACATATCATCATTTTATTATTTTAAAACCAGCTGTTGATAGAATGAATAATTCCACGTGGTGTTTCATTCATAACTGTTATCACTTTATAATGCGCAATACCAGAATACTTGTTGACGCACAACCTTCATCCTCTTCACGCTCTTTGTGGCTCCTTTTCTCTCACACTTCTCTCATTTTGTTATGAAATGCAACATTTCACAAAACCCCCAGATTAATGCGCAGAAACAAATAAATGAAAGAAAGCATTCAGAGTGACTGCTGATGTGAGAGGAGAGGGGAATCTCACAACCCACTGCCCCTGCTATAAAAACATGCCTTATCAACATCTTCTCCCTGTAAAATGTCAGTGGAATGCTACTTTTTCATTAACAAGGCTGCGCATACATCTGCTGTAAGCTGCATGCTATCCGCCTCGTTATATCATGCAGCACTCCCCTCTTTCATCTCTCTTATCTGTCTCTACCCTCTAATAGTCCTCACTGTTACACACTGAAGCTAACACCTGGCATACTGTACAGTTTTCTTAAGAGATGTTTTTACTAAAATATGACCTGTGTCCTTCCTCAGCAAACATCGCTTTGTGAATTAGCTCAAGTACAAGAATGAGAAGTGTTGTAATGTATTACTCAAACACATATACTCTGAGGTGTCCATGTGCTACAGCTGCAGTGCACCAGCAGAAAACCACAGTCGCTTTCTAGGAATTCACATTTACCTCTTGTTACAAGGGCTCGAGCTGGAATCAGCTATATGATAGTTAAAGGAATTGCAAAAGTGAGGAAACCATTCAGAAATAAGTTAACAAGTATGTGTGATGTACAGGACAAGCAAGCAAGCAAAGTTGTATGCATATTAATTCAATACTGCAGCAGGATGAGCTACCTAGCAAAGCCCCGCGTGGCATTTCAATTAAAAAGGTGTCCTGTCTGTGCAAATCATATTTCATCACACAGGAAAATAATATGTACAGGAAATCCTGCCTGTTTCACCCTTGTTCAGGTGTTTTGCGCAGGTGGAAAGGAGCCCAGAAAGCCCCAGAACACATGAGGATCATAGTGGGGCATTTGCACATCTGAGTGAGCACATCTGTCCTTTCACACCCCATATTCCAACTTATGTTTTTTTGAACATCTTGTTTGTGTCCCTGTGTGGCATTTAGAGATAAATGGTTGGTATGAAAAAGGTTGTATCCTTTTAAATCAGCTTGTTATTCCTGGATTAAAGCTAGGGGCTAAAAATCACTTAGCCTTGAGGCTTGGGAAGAAAAAAAACCTGGCAAAAAAAGCACTTCCACGCAGCTTGAGAACAGAGATGTGTCATAAGAACTACATCACGGCTGTGCCATGTCCTCAGGACATGCCTACTTATGTCACTGTGTGCTTACTGTATGTGTGAATCTCTGAGTGGGCAGCTGGGGTTGAGGCAAATTTCAAGACCAATTTCATGTGTGTGTCCCTGTAGCTTTCCTGTATGTGAGTGCAATGTTCCTGTATGCTCCTGGCCAGCATCGGTGTTGTTGTCAGTAAGTGGGTGCTAGTGAGAGAAAGGTCATGTGGTAGCCAGGAGATTTATGTCCAGGTCAGAGATGCACTGTATGGAACCAGCCTTATTACCGCACCATTTCCCTCAGTTCCTGCTGCACACACACAGCAGCCATAACACGTAGACAAAAAGGAGGTGGGTGAGCAGGCTTGGGCTCCTTCTTACCACATCCAGCATTAATGCAACAGCGGTCATGCATGTTGTACCTGCCATTTAATCATGACTTCCTCTTTCTTTTGTGGTTATAAAATTCAAAATAATTACCATTATACCAGGAAACTTAGCTTCAAACCTCAAGTAATTCACTAATATCAAATATTAAATAGGAAAAAAACCACATATCTTTAGATAGAGTTCATTAAAGAATAAGGTCAGTCATTTTCTATATTAACAGTATTTTCAACACTCCCCATACAGAGACAAAAACCAACAATGATTTGCCTCTATCCATGATTGATATCTGTCTGTCTGTCAGTTCTGGGTTAACTTACCATACCTTTGTTTAAAAGCAATTAAAAACACATAAGGGAAGCACACTGCTGCACTTAGTGACTCATTATGAAACACAAGACCCTTATGTTTGTTAAAAATATCCAGCGATCTTGTGCATGGGCCCTTGACTCTTGATTACTTCAGATGCTGTAAAAAGTTAGTTTCTGAGCAACAGCGGAGGTTAATGGCACTGATGAATAAGATTAACTGACATTAATCATTAGAGGCAAATTGTTGCTGGTTTTAGTCTCTTTAAAGGGAATGTTTAAAATAGTGTTAATATAGAAAATGATAAGCATTAATTTTTAAGAAGTTAACACTGAAAAACACAATTACTTTGCTTTATTACGACTGAGCTCCACCCACTTCAAATCAATGAGAAAAGTAGAAAGAAAAAAAAAATAAATGCAGAAATACTGTAGGATCCCATCACTTATACAGTAGCAAGGCAGTTTTTACCAAATGTGCTTCATGTACAGTGCACAGTGTATAATTTGATCTACTGCACTTGTTCTTGACTTACGATGTGTAGTTTCAAGAAGTCTCCAAGGCCGGAGGAGCTATCCACCCTGACCAGGACAGCATCCTTCAGGTGCGTGCTGAAACCGATGGCTAGCCGGTCTGCCCTTGTGCTGGGACGGTCATTTGGTGGCCACGTGTATGTGATCAGTCCACCATCTCGCCCAAATATGTACGTTGTTCCCGCTAGAAAAAAAAAAGAGAGAAAGAACAGAGGATGTTGATAATGTATTCCCCCTTACAACTGTGTACTAGGTGTGAAACACTGACTGTCAACACAAATATTATTAACACAGCAAAGCCGGCACTGATGCTGTGTGTACAGAGCACCGTCGGTCTTGAGTATTTTATTGTGCTGAGCAATGACTTTGCAAAGCACTGAGCAACATATCACTCTTGAACAGCTGTCAACCCCATCTGAGGGTTTAAGCACCCTCAAGTCATTTCATGTGTAGCAGAAAATTTTGTGGAAATGAGGGAGGCAGGTACCGGCGCTGCTTTCCTCATAATACTGCACAATTACTCAGTTTTACTGCCACTGGCTGCTTCCCCTTTAGAGGAAAGAGATACAAGTGAATGCTAGCAAAATTTGCAGTCGTGTCCCCCGTGGTCAGGTAACCAGCGTACCAAACAGACACCTCCCTGTCTCTAGCGCTTCATTAGCAGCCAGAGGCATTATTGACTGAATGGTCCAATTATGCCCTTCTTGTGACCTCCAAACCAGCTATTTCGTGCTTCGCTGCATTACCTTGTTGTCTTTAGCAGCGGCATGAAGGCTTTGAACATGGCCTGGTGGATTGAAGGTTGTGCCTAATTACCTAGCTATTCAGTGAAAAAGAACCTTGCAGCTTCAGGCCAGTGACCTAGTCAAACTGATGGCTGGAAATAAGTATTTCATGACTAATGAAGGAAGTGGTCTAATAAAAGCAGCACTATGTTCACATATAAAGCCAAAGTCTCAGGTTTTGATGCTTGTCTTCCATCCACCATTTCAGAGCTGTCAGTTTCCTCAGTCAAATAACTGCATGCTTTTTCCCACTTAGAAACCTTCATTAGGGTAGTATTTCAATTCGTTTTAGCCGGGACATAGAAAAGTATGATTTGTGAAACAAAGTGTGTATTTGTGTGCAATTGTGAAGGGATGTGAATGTGATTGGAAAATACATGCCTGTGAGAGCCTGACAATGGATGCAGCTGTCAGATTAGCATAAAAACAGCTATCTTCATGAAAAATTAGACAAGGAGTTCTGCTAGTGTGTTACAGATTTACGTGTGTGTGTGTGTGTGTGTGTGAGCACAAAGGAGAAATGGAAAGCGAGCGCTCGAAAGAGAGACACTGTGTTAATATTCATAGGGGCGGGGAGTTAAACAGCCTTAGCCTGAAGAATAGATTTTAAATCATTTGGATTGTAATTCCAATATTTTCTTGTAAACCAGTTCACGAGGATACAAAACAATCAATAAATTTGGCATTTATTTTTATATTTCTGTTGCTTTCTTCCCTCTGGCTTCACAGTGCAGCGATTAAACTGCGTCACTCCAATCTCAAGTTCCATTTCCAATTTTATTCCCTCATTTGAGTCAATACGCACTGTCAACCATTAACTAAAACAAATTGCATCATTAATTAACCGTAATGTGATTAACAAATAGTGTTGAGACCTACAGATCTATGGTGGGGTTTATTGTTTTCATAAAGCATAACTCGCATTTGTAAAACATAATGAAATCACACTGTAAGCTTTCTTGTTCTGCTAATGGATAAAGCGTTATGAAGCTTGATGACTTCTACAAAGGAAAAGACATTATGTGTAATATATTTGCGAGGCAGGCATCATTTCTTTTTCATGAAGTCTGGCGGCTACTGCTGATGCATATCCGACATTGGCGCCTTCACAGCACAATCTCCAATTTATGTAGCTGGTGCTGGACTGTTGTCACTGTCTCTGAGTTTCCCCCCAAGCCACCAAACACTGGCTCCATGCTCCAGCTTATTATAATTAAGGTCTTTTAAACCACGTCAGTGTTGAAACTCACTTGGCCCTTAAGCATCAGTTTCCTCCTCTGGCATCCTTAAGCTAAATGGATAAACAGCAAAATCTGCATGTCAAGGTACCAAAGGTCAACAACTACCTGAACAAACCACAGATAAAACAAGGTTGTTGATATGTGGGCATGCAGTCTAAAATCCATACTATTGAAAAAAATTCCTTAAGGGACTGCTGAAAATTAAGGTGCTGTACATGGAGAAACATGGCTAATGCACACCTACACAGTCGTGCAGGGGCATGAAATCAGCAGACATGTGTCTGTGTAACTCCAGTGGTGGGAGTAATTAAGCATTGGCTCCATATTTGTTATTTGTGCACCCTCTTGGGGCGCTGGGTCCGATATGGATCTGTTGTAGTCATTAGATACAGTAGTGTCCTGGAAATGCTCGCCTGTTTGTTGTCTCTTTAATTTGACAGGAGTTTCGGTTTATTCCCTGATCATCTGCTGCCTAATAAAAACAAATGAAATGACAGGATCCAGGCATAATAAGTAGAGTGTGAAATATATGTAGCACTATACAATAGAACTTCACATACTCCTTTGTGCATTTCCATATTATATGCTCACATGCATTTCCCCAGAGGGGTCATAGTGTGGAAACCAAGAGACAGTGTGTTTTGAGGTAGTATTGATAGATCTCACAAGGCTGTTACAGATGATCAGACCTCCAGGATGAACTCTTCAACCACAAGCCTCCAGTGTTAAAATCATAATGAATTAATCTGGCCTCATGCTGGCTGCTCTCTGTTGTGTCAGTTAACATCAAAGAAGATAAACACCCTGCTTTCATTAAAAATGTAGCATCATCCCAGGAGTTTGCCTGCATTTGGCCAGAGGTGCGAAGTATAATAGACTGTCGGGTAACAAACATGTCCTGTGTGTTAGAGCCCTCTTGGCACTGACTTATTAATGTCTCAGTCTATTTCTGCTGCAATGAAGCAAGAGCATATAGCAAACTGGACTATAAGCACAGCATGTTAAGCAAACTGGCCTATAAGCACGGCATGTTAAGCAAACTGGGTGGTGTCATATGAAGAGGCAGACAGTGTGAGCAAAGGAAAACATACTGGCACTGTTCCTTAGTGTAGCAATTGTCGGGTGATTAGGATATACCACCCAGGCAGTGTGTTTGACTATACAGCTCAGCTAAGGTCAGCTCTGCAGACTGTCTTTCCCCTGACCTCCAACACGGTCAGCATAAAGAGCCTCATATTACCACCTCTGCCGAGAAACTGAGGAGGAATCCAATCATAATTACATAGTTCTGATGGAAATATGAAAACGAGAGATGACATTATGGATCTGCTTTCTGTCAGCACCTAACACTTGTGTTTCTCTCTGTGTGCTGCCAAGGATTCCCGTAATGACTGGCGTGCAAAAATAGATGATAGCTCAGTATGCTATAGCTTTCTGAGATTAATTTTTGATCGTTTTATAAATCTCCTGAATTGAATTTCAAAGTAAGATCATCTCTTTTCCCAGTCATCTCTTGTCTCTGTCCATAGATCTTAAACATAAACAAAGCGTTTTCCAGGGAATATGTCTATCTTCTGCAGTAATATCTTCACAATGCAAATGAGCTTAATGAGAACAACATCCGTAAGATCTGTGCAGGCACTTTAACTTGTTTTTGACTGTGACAGAAACAAGTAGGTGAGCATTTACATAAACTGCTTTGTGTCATACATCCCCAAACATTTAAAAGGACAAAACTATTTTCAGGTTATAATCAGGATAGCATTTGGGTTTATCTTTGGTCTCTGTGGAGGAGGAGTACCATTAAAAGAAGCTTAACGATGCCTATTGGATTACCATTTCAGTTCCCAGACAAATCGCTATCACGATTTATGAGGACACTACAATCTAAGCAAAACACTATCGGTATCTAGTAAAGGAGCTATCTCCGATCAATGCGCCTGAAGATTTTGTGCCATGAGGGAAAATTGAGAGTCAATGTGATCATTCTTTTTCTTCCCTCTGATCTACCTTTCTCTTGCTATATTTTACTTTTTAGGACAATTAAATGGTCTAGTAGTTGAGGAGATGAGGTGGTAAATAGAATGCGGGGTTATGAGCAAAACAGCTCAAACTCACAGCTAATTAAATGTCTTTTCAGCTGCATGTTCTAACTTGGCAGCGATTACAAAACTGTGAATTACAGAGATGGTGGAGTAGGGGCACCGTTCACACGGTCTCCGTGTATAAATAAATGGCACATCACACTCCATGACCCAAAATAATTTTCCCTATACACTGATATCTACAATATCTATTTGATATATACTGCATCTGATATATACAGTATCTCTCTATTGCCATTAAATACTCCTGGGATTCTGTTTTGGATCCATAGTATCATTTCTCTCTCAGATAACATTCAAATCTCTTATTAAAAAAACAAACAACAGTAATAGAGGAAGGAGGAATGTGATTGTATTATTTAAAGGGCAACAGATTTTGTGTCTGAACTACACTGATTCCCCTTGTGTTAGCCAATGCTTTGGTTATTTCAACAGGCAAAAGAATTGAAGGACACCAGGATCTGACCCCTTTCACTTGTGACTAAAGAATCTGTGGCTCTATTTACACAGTCACTTCCAGTTATTTTTAATTAATGTGGAATGAAGTGTATGAAATGGTGGGAATAAAACACACCATTCAAAACAAGTGCGTGTGTTGCACCAAGGTGATAGAGTACTGTTCATCTGGAAAGCTGTCCATAAAATATGGAAGGACTTCAGTCAGTGCTTTTTTAACCATGTATCACTTTTAATTCTGCCAGTACAGATTTTTATTGTGTGGTTTGAATTATTTAAGTAAAAAATGCTAATGTTTCTCAAAGTTTTATACAAGAAACAAAATCCGTATTATTATTGTTGAATGTGGTCATTTGTAAGATTTTCATTGACCTTGGTGACATCTAAGGTATAATGCAGTTGGATCAAATGAGCACTGTGCCCATTACATGACTGTAAAAGCTACTGTATGGAACTGTCTGTGGATCGTGTTTAACTTTCTGTACTGATCTTTTCTTTGATCAGCTACAGCTGACAACTCTTCCCTGTATCCTGTACTGCAGCTACGTCTTTCATACGATGTACAGTATTTCTGAGTTGTTCAGTTAACTGCACCTG